CAGCGCCCTCTGGCAGAGCAGAAGCCGGCCGCCCACCATGGCTGAGGGCACTCCAGGAGCCCACCAACTCCTGACACCTCTCAGCCAAGCCGGCGCCGGACACCGTCACACCGCCAGAAGAACCAGCCAGAACACGTAAAAAAATCTATCAACAATCCTGGGACCCAAGGCGATATGTGCGCCAGGCGTCGTACTACCGGACCGTTGAAGAAGAATGCCAAACGGCAGTAGCAAAGCCAAAACGCGAAAACAGAACGTGATCCGGCGGCCCCCAGACAGAGGAGGTGTCCAGACGTCCGCTCGTCATCAAGGTTGAACCAGGAGTCCCCTGTTACAGGCGTGGCATCTATATTTATACTTACGAAATGAACGTTACGGTAAACAGCACAGCTCAATTCAAATGTAATGTCACACAAAATAATTAAATCAAAATGAAAATAAATCTAAATCTATGAAATTATATTTATCAATGCAATCGGAAACATTGAAATGGTATCGTAACATATTTAGTATAGTGTGTGTTGCTCTTCCGTGCAACAGATGGTACTGTTTAAAAAATAATTCTTTATACCTATCACAGGTGTGACAGCTACATAGTATATATATAAAAATCCTCGCATATTCGAATGCAACGTTGTGTCAAAATTTCAAAGCAATCGGTGAAGAACTTTCGGAGATTGCAGCGTGTGTTACTCTTACTTCCAACAGATGGCGCTGTTTAAAAAAAAATGTTTTTTTCTTGTTACAGGGGTGGCATGTAAATAGAAGGTATATAAAAACCACGTGCCTATTCGAATGCAACGTTGTGTCAAATTTTCAAAACAATTAGTAAAGAGGTTTCGAAGATTTCTCTCAAGTGAAAAACACATGAAAGCCCAGTTTTTAAAAAAGGATGTTTTTTTCCCCGTCACAGACGTGACATCTTTTTATATACATATACTAAGTATATAAAACCCTGCTCGGATGTGAAAGCAACGTTGTGTGAAAATTTCAAAGCAATCGGTGAAGAACTTTCGGAGATTAGCGATTTTGAACAAACGAACATATACATCTATATTTATATAGATTTCTGTGCTCACACGAACTAATAACTCGTATATCTTGTTTCGAACGTTCCTGTTGTTGTGTAATACACATTTATTGCTGTTATGTTGATGCCTGTGTCCTCCCAAGTTATGTTGATGCCTGTGTCCTCCCAAGTTATGTTGATGCCTGTGTCCACCCGTGTTATGTTGATGCCTGTGTCCACCCATGTTATGTTGATGCCTCTGTCCACCCATGTTATGTTGATGCCTCTCTCCACCCATGGTATTATAGCAAAATATGTTTACGTTCCCCTCTCTGCCTTTCTTTTCATTATTGTGTCATGTCCCTATAATACTTTAGTTTTATTCAAACGCCAACCTCTAGATGCTGATAGTTTAAAGTCTTACTAACTACTTCATCAAAGAATCTACTATGGACGCCACCTTATTCCATGAAAAGTGAACCCTCTCCGTCTCGTATACACAGAGTTCTGACTAATGAACCAGTCCCGGTGCTTGATGAATGGTTGTTCCTAACTATAACAATGTCTTTCAAGTCGGCAGTTTATCTTAGCCCTTGATAACATCTCAAAGCCTCTTATCCCTCCGAATCTTAGCTCATCTCTACATAAGTCAGACCCCGCCTCCCCCCCTCCCGTTTTCCTGATCTAGTGCTAACGTGAGTCTATTTATATGTTCCTGACTCCTGCCCTTACTGACATCATTCCCACCAACAGAGGGGCAGACAAAATACTAGTTTCCATCCACAGGAAAAATGTTGCCCATCTTGTCAGCGCTCTCACCTATTCCAGCTCACAGAAAAACACTCCCCCGCAGCCCTTTATGAGCTTCTCCTGAAGAAAACCTGTCTACATATCTCATCCGAGGATCCACATCAAGCAATATGTTCCTATCTTTAGTGTTGAGTTGCATCATTGCCCGTCGTCCTTTATGCATGGTTGCAATGTGTTGTGTCCACTGTCAGGCGACCAGCTGCCTCCCTCCATCACTCTTCATCAAGTGCAGAGAATGTGTTGAAGGTTTACACAAAAGGTATCAGTTGCTTCTTCATTGTCTTCCTTAGTTCCTTATCTCTGAAGACAACCCAACTTGTCTTTTTCACAGGAACGTCATCCACTGTTCCTTCATCCTGTTGTGATACATATTCTGCATCTGCTTCACTTCTTCAGTCAATCAGTCTATATATTACTTCAGCACAAAGTTTCATTAACTCAGGCACTAAACTAGACTCCATCTCAGATAAGTTTAAAGTTCCAGAAACTCTCCCATTAGCTCGAGGAACAGTCAGAGTCACGCTTCCTTGGCGTTACTCGTAAGTAACTGATGGTTACTCTACCTTTCAGTAACAGTTACTCTACCTTTCAGTAACAGTTACTCTACCTTTCAGTAACACTTACTCTACCTTAAAGTAACAGTTACTCTACCTTTCAGTAACAGTTACTCTACCTTTCAGTAACAGTTGCTCTACCTTTCAGTAACAGTTACTGTACCTTTCAGTAACAGTTGCTCTACCTTTCAGTAACAGTTACTCTACCACTCAGTAACAGTTACTCTACCTCTCAGTAACAGTTACTCTACCTCTCAGTAACAGTTACTCTACCATTCAGTAACAGTTACTCTACCACTCAGTAACAGTTACTCTACCTTTCAGTAACAGTTACTCTACCTTTCAGTAACAGTTACTCTACCTTTCAGTAACAGTTACGGTACCTTTGAGTAACAGTTACTGTATCTTTCAGTAACAGTTACTCTACCTTTCAGTAACAGTTACTCTACCTTTCAGTAACAGTTACTCCACCTTTCAGTAACAGTTACTCTACCTCTCAGTAACAGTTACTCTACCTTTCAGTAACAGTTACTCTACCTCTCAGTAACAGTTACTCTACATTTCAGTAACAGTTACTCTACCTTTCAGTAACAGTTACTCTACCTTTCAGTAACAGTTACTCTACCTTTCAGTAACAGTTACTCTACCTTTCAGTAACAGTTACGGTACCTTTGAGTAACAGTTACTGTATCTTTCAGTAACAGTTACTCTACCTCTTAGTAACAGTTACTCTACCTCTCAGTAACAGTTCCTCTACCACTGAGTAACAGTCACTCTTTGACTCTAGTAACAGTTGTTCTGCCTTGCCTGAACTGTCTCAGTTATTAAGGCTCAGTCCTCACTGTGGGATTTGTGTGTTAAATCTATAAAATCTCTATGACTTGTCCTTTTCTGCCTTGCTAAAGATACTTCATACTTTCCTTTAGCTGTTATACACGAACCCGCAACTGACATGAGAGTCTACTCTTGTGTATCGTATATATATATTGTTAGAATATCTTTGTAATGAAATTATATATTCCTTTGTTTCTATTTTAATGTTTTTTGGTCACATGAAGAGGAAGATAACGGAACTTTCAGGAGAATGTACGAAGAAATCACGACTATATAGCACTGGGATGGATCAGGATAAGGATTTGGGATGGGGAAGGAATGGTGCCCAATCACTTGGACGGTCGGGGATTGAACGCCGACCTGTATGAAGAGAGACCGTCGCTCTACCGTCCAGCCCAAGTGGCTGGGGTACTCAAAAGAGTCATCACTCTTCCCCCGTGTTAATAAGAAGTGAGCGGAAGCTTGAGGCAGCAGCGTCCTCCCGCTGCCGCACTGTGCCGCTGCTCTGTGTAACATCAGTAAGTGTTCACGCTCCAACCAGCGGCTCTGTTCTCCACACTCACCCACTGCGGCCTGGTCCCAGGAGCGAGGGACCGGACCAGTAGAGCAGGCAAGACCTCAGTATGCCAGCACCCGGCGGGGCCCGGGTCTCCTCACGAAGAGTATATGTCAACAAGAACACTGAAGTCTGACAGAGCAGATGGACAGTTGGGAAAATGCCTCCGGTGACTGGCAACACTTGTGAGTTATGACATGTGTGATTATTGTGTACACATTGTGGGCGACCCACGCTTGTTGTCATGTACAGTCTGACACCAGTCACTGTGGGCGGCCCTCGCTTGTTGTCATGTACAGTCTGACACCAGTCACTGTGGGGGGCCCTCGCTTGTTGTCATGTACAGTCTGACACCAGTCACTGTGGGCGACCCTCGCTTGTTGTCATGTACAGTCTGACACCAGTCACTGTGGGGGGCCCTCGCTTGTTGTCATGTACAGTCTGACACCAGTCACTGTGGGGGGCCCTCACTTGTTGTCATGTACAGTCTGACACCAGTCACTGTGGGGGGCCCTCGCTTGTTGTCATGTACAGTCTGACACCAGTCACTGTGGGGGGCCCTCACTTGTTGTCATGTACAGTCTGACACCAGTCACTGTGGGGGGCCCTCGCTTGTTGTCATGTACAGTCTGACACCAGTCACTGTGGGCGACCCTCGCTTGTTGTCATGTACAGTCTGACACCAGTCACTGTGGGCGACCCTCGCTTGTTGTCATGTACAGTCTGACACCAGTCACTGTAGGCGACCCTCGCTTGTTGTCATGTACAGTCTGACACCAGTCACTGTGGGCGACCCTCGCTTGTTGTCATGTACAGTCTGACACCAGTCACTGTGGGCGACCCTCGCTTGTTGTCATGTACAGTCTGACACCAGTCACTGTGGGCGACCCTCGCTTGTTGTCATGTACAGTCTGACACCAGTCACTGTGGGCGACCCTCGCTTGTTGTCATGTACAGTCTGACACCAGTCACTGTGGGCGACCCTCGCTTGTTGTCATGTACAGTCTGACACCAGTCACTGTAGGCGGCCCTCACTTGTTGTGATGTACAGTTTGACACCAGTCACTGTGGGGGGCCCTCACTTGTTGTGATGTACAGTTTGACACCAGTCACTGTGGGCGACCCTCGCTTGTTGTCATGTACAGTCTGACACCAGTCATTGTGGGCGACCCTCGCTTGTTGTCATGTACAGTCTGACACCAGTCAATATTAGTGATGTGATGAACATTGTGAAGAGTTATGTGGCATCACTACCAGTCACTGTGGCTACTGTGAAGTATGGTACATCACTACCAGTCTCTGTGGGTACTGTGAAGTATGGTGCCTCACTACCAGTCACTGTGGGTACTGTGAAGTATGGTGCCTCACTACCAGTCACTGTAGGTACTGTGAAGTATGGTGCCGCACTACCAGTCACTGTAGGTACTGTGAAGTATGGTGCCGCACTACCAGTCACTGTGGGTACTGTGAAGTATGGTACATCACTACCAGTCACTGTGGCTACTGTGAAGTATGGTGCCGCACTACCAGGCACTGTGGGTACTGTGAAGTATGGTGCCGCACTACCAGTCTCTGTGGGTACTGTGAAGTATGGTGCCGCACTACCAGTCACTGTGGCTACTGTGAAGTATGGTGCCGCACTACCAGTCACTGTGGCTACTGTGAAGTATGGTGCCGCACTACCAGTCACTGTGGCTACTGTGAAGTATGGTGCCGCACTACCAGTCACTGTGGGTACTGTGAAGTATGGTGCCGCACTACCAGTCACTGTGGCTACTGTGAAGTATGGTGCCGCACTACCAGTCACTGTGGCTACTGTGAAGTATGGTGCATCACTACCAGTCACTGTGGGTACTGTGAAGTATGGTGCCGCACTACCAGTCACTGTGGGTACTGTGAAGTATGGTACATCACTACCAGTCTCTGTGGGTACTGTGAAGTATGGTGCCGCACTACCAGTCACTGTAGGTACTGTGAAGTATGGTACATCACTACCAGTCACTGTGGGTACTGTGAAGTATCGTACATCACTACCAGTCACTGTGGCTACTGTGAAGTATGGTGCATCACTACCAGTCTCTGTGGGTACTGTGAAGTATGGTGCATCACTACCAGCCACTGTGGGTACTGTGAAGTATGGTGCATCACTACCAGTCACTGTGGGTACTGTGAAGTATGGTGCCGCACTACCAGTCACTGTGGGTACTGTGAAGTATGGTACATCACTACCAGTCTCTGTGGGTACTGTGAAGTATGGTGCCGCACTACCAGTCACTGTAGGTACTGTGAAGTATGGTGCCGCACTACCAGTCACTGTAGGTACTGTGAAGTATGGTGCCGCACTACCAGTCACTGTAGGTACTGTGAAGTATGGTGCCGCACTACCAGTCACTGTAGGTACTGTGAAGTATGGTGCATCACTACCAGTCACAGTGGGTACTGTGAAGTATGGTACATCACTACCAGTCACTGTGTCTACTGTGAAGTATGGTGCCGCACTACCAGGCACTGTGGGTACTGTGAAGTATGGTACATCACTACCAGTCACTGTGGGTACTGTGAAGTATGGTGCCGCACTACCAGTCACTGTGGGTACTGTGAAGTATGGTACATCACTACCAGTCACTGTGGCTACTGTGAAGTATGGTGCCGCACTACCAGGCACTGTGGGTACTGTGAAGTATGGTACATCACTACCAGTCACTGTGGCTACTGTGAAGTATGGTGCCGCACTACCAGTCACTGTGGCTACTGTGAAGTATGGTGCCGCACTACCAGTCACTGTGGCTACTGTGAAGTATGGTGCCTCACTACCAGTCACTGTGGGTACTGTGAAGTATGGTGCCTCACTACCAGTCACTGTGGGTACTGTGAAGTATCGTACATCACTACCAGTCACTGTGGGTACTGTGAAGTATCGTACATCACTACCAGTCACTGTGGGTACTGTGAAGTATGGTGCATCACTACCAGTCACTGTGGGTACTGTGAAGTATGGTGCCTCACTACCAGGCACTGTGGGTACTGTGAAGTATGGTACATCACTACCAGTCACTGTGGGTACTGTGAAGTATGGTACATCACTACCAGTCACTGTGGGTACTGTGAAGTATGGTACACCACTACCAGTCACTGTGGCTACTGTGAAGTATGGTGCCTCACTACCAGTCACTGTGGGTACTGTGAAGTATGGTACATCACTACCAGTCACTGTGGGTACTGTGAAGTATGGTACATCACTACCAGTCACTGTGGCTACTGTGAAGTATGGTGCCGCACTACCAGGCACTGTGGGTACTGTGAAGTATGGTGCCTTACTACCAGTCACTGTGGCTACTGTGAAGTATGGTGCCTCACTACCAATCACTGTGGGTACTGTGAAGTATGGTACATCACTACCAGTCACTGTGGGTACTGTGAAGTATGGTGCCTCACTACCAGTCACTGTGGGTACTGTGAAGTATGGTACACCACTACCAGTCACTGTGGGTACTGTGAAGTATGGTACACCACTACCAGTCACTGTGGGTACTGTGAAGTATGGTGCCTCACTACCAATCACTGTGGGTACTGTGAAGTATGGGGCCGGACACTGTAGTGAGATAATACTGTGACCCATATATAATCAGCCTCAATAAGTACAGTAATATATATTGTAATATCCGTATTAAATAATGTTTGTCGGATGTGTAATAATTTGAGATTGACCAAAACTGTTATTGAGCAACTAATCGGTATGTAATACAGTCAACCTTTAGAATTGTTCCCATTTGTCAATAATGAACTAATTATGTGTCAATATATGACAGTCAAAATGAATAAATTAACGTGTTTTTATACACTGTCACAGTGAAGAAGTATTTGTTATATAAATGAACATTAATGTGAAGTTCAAGCATGTTTATATTCTTTATTTAGTCCGTCCTCCTAAGGTTTCCCAACGTCAAGAAACTGTCGTACTAAAGTGCCCTTATCCTAGCCTACCAGAGGACCCAAAACACAAAACGGGACAGTATGTCAATTTCGGGAGCTGGTGCCATTTTCTAGTACGACAACTTTTAGCCTTAGGGCGAGTATACGTCAAAATGCGACGTTCTGTTAGGAGGACGGCTTGCTTTATTACCTCTGAGAAATTACAATAATACAATTATTAAGATTTTGTCTTCATTATTATACCTGGTTACCTGGTTGATGGGGTTCTGGGAGTTCTTCTACTCCCCAAGCCCGGCCCGAGGCCAGGCTCGACTTGTGAGAGTTTGGTCCACTAGGCTGTTGCTTGGAGCGGCCCGCAGGCCCACATACCCACCACAGCCCGGTTGGTCCGGCACTCCTTGGAGGAATATATCTAGTTTCCTCTTGAAAATGTCCACGGTTGTTCCGGCAATATTTCTTATGCTTGCTGGGAGGACGTTGAACAACCGCGGACCTCTGATGTTTATACAGTGTTCTCTGATTGTGCCTATGGCACCTCTGCTCTTCATTGGTTCTATTCTACATCCCTCATTGGGATGAGGGATGTAGGGATGTCTTATCCCTCATTGAGTTATATATATTTAAAAATACTATTTTATCATGTTATTTTATCATGTTATTCTTTCATAATTATGTTTCCAAATATAAATCAGGAATAGTTTGAGTATGCTTCAATATTACGGCCTTAATGACTGGCGTGTTGGTATACTTTTATTGGCATTGTTTCATTCTGTGTATTGAAACATTATTATTGCTGGCATTGTGCTAGTAAATTGTTAGTGAGTTGAGGGATCAACTTTTGTAAATATTCTTACGTGGGAGTTGAGGGAGCAGATGGGTTTACTCTGAGTACTTTGGTGTCTCTAAGTTTACGACCGTAGGTGTAAACCTCTTGCCCCGGGGCCAGACTCACGAAGCAGTTACGCAAGAACTTACGAACCTGCACATCTTTCCTCAATCTTTGACGGCAATCTTACATTTATTAAACAGTTTACAAGCATGAAAACTTGCCAATCAACTGTTGTTATTGTTATAAACAGCCTCCTGGTGCTTCGCAGTTCATTAACTGTTTAATAATTGTAAACAAAGCCGCCAAAGATTGAGAAAAGATGTACAGGTTCGTAAGTGCTTGCGTAACTGCTTCATAAATCTGGCCCCTGGCGCCTAAAAATCTTCAATGTACATTATCTTGAGGTTATCTTGAGGTGATTTCGGTGCTTGGCGTCCCCGTGGCCAGGTCCTCGACCAGGCCTCCTTTTTGTTACACACCCTCCCCAGGCCCGTAGCAGCTGTCTAACTTCCAGGGGCCAGATTTACGAAGCAGCCACGCAAGCACTTACGAACCTGTACATCTTTTCTCAATCTTTGGCGGCTTTGTTTGCAATTATTCAACAGTTAATGAGCTCCAAAGCACCAGGAGGCTGTTTATAACAATAACAACAGTTGAATGGGACGTTTTCATGCTTGTAAACTGTTTAATAAATGTAATCAAAGCCGTCAAAGATTGAGGAAAAATGTACAGGTTCGTAAGTTCTTGCGTAACTGCTTCGTGAATCTAGCCCCAGGTACCTATTTACTGCTAGGTGAACAGGTACATTAGGGTGAAAGAAACTCTGGCCATTTGTTTCCTCCTCTGCCGGGTATTTAAATGAGTGTGGGAGCGATAAGTGCCAACTTACTAAGGGTAAGCATGTCGTGGTACAGGGGCTAGGTGGGCGGCTGGGAGCATCCAGATCGCTGGTTCGAGTCACCCTGTCATTACACACCAGGTCAAGGATGATGGGCCATATAAGCGGGATATTGTTCACAGGTCTTTGGGTCTCCAGAGGTAATAAATAAATGACAGGACGCGTCTTTGCGTTTTCACTGCAAGGTTTGCAGTTCCTATCAGTATAATCCTGTAGTGTATTATAAAAATACATTCACTCAGGCATACAAGAATTATAAGAAGGTGATACGACACATAATTGACTGGACTTGCAAACCTTGCAGTGAAAACGCCAGGATGTGTCGTGTCATTTATTATAACAACCCTCGCACATCTTCCCTCATTATGAGGAATAACATCTCTGCCTCCTCTGACACACTGAGGTGTGCTAATGTAATGTATCATTACAAAGGCAACTCTGGACACTGTGCACTGCCAAACATAATCTACATTGTACACTCGACGAACACATTGAGTAGAAGTCTTACACTTCATTTGCAACACGGAGGCATTAAGCAACATCATTCTCAATACCACAACACCATCCTTAATCGTGAAGACATGGTGAAAGATACGACACTAATCGCACGCACCGACGACCGTAGGAGGCTTCATATGCTTGAAGCCGTGTTCATTCTGGAGCTACCACCAGTAATCATCATCCAGATGAATTCGGCATCGAGCATACAACTGTTCGATGGTCCTCCATTGACCCAGAAGGAAGATGTAGGACCTGGCGGACAGCTAGAAGCCGGAGTCAGGCAACAATCACGTTACCTTATCCTTCGCCGCTCTCTACGAATAATGGGAGTAGGTGAATCGTAGAGTGAAGTGTCCTCGGCCTTATAAATGTCTTGAGTTCTCCTTGTAAGTTTAGGGGCTCACTATAGCCCGTGCTACATGGACACTTCATTCTGAGTGGCTAAATCTAGAGCAACAACAACTTTGTAAGTTCAGTATAGCTGTGTTAGTGCAACATAATGTACTCCTGAAGATGTCACATTGTTGACGAAACGTCGAAATAATAAAAATGGAAAGATTAAGTGATCTAATGTTTCTTCACCCCCTAGATGGTAGAAGATATTTGCGTAGAATGGAAAATATCTAAATGAAAATTAATAATGTCACTATTAAAATTATTAGTCAAAATGCTGTTGTGTTTAATGGCATGTGTATTAGAAAAAAAACGGCTCCCAAAATATTTATATAAATAAAAATGTAAATGTTTATTTACATGTGATTTTTTTTTAACTGAAAAAATAATCTCTTCTCACAACCAGACCATCACCACAGAAATCTTAACAAACAACACAGAAATCATCGATAGATACAGCGATAACAGGCGGCTCGACATCAGCGAGGCACTACACATAAAGTCAACACCAGCAATCAATACCCAATTAATGCACAACTAAATTCTACCCACTTCAAGACTCCGAACCAATATAGAAGGATCAAGAGGAAGTGGTGATGCTATAGGTCAATAGGCCTTCTGCAGTTCCCTTCGTATGTTTTTATACCCATTGGTTTGTGTTCTGTCTTGTGTAAATGTCAATCACCTTACTCAAAACTTTTATATCACCTTACCCAAATGCGAGTATAAGTATAGATGTGTTTACAGGTTACAGTTGTGTGTGTAAACTAAAGGCTTTGAAAATGTAATAAGTTATTAGGAAACGCGTTCAGGCGTCACTTCAGACTAGAAATAAAGATGAATTTTGGAGAACTGATTTTTCAATTACCATCGACAGTGAAAAGAAACATTAGAAATATTGAGAAAATTCGTGTTAGAATTATTAATCTTACTTTTTCGGTCATATTCCACAACATATATTTACAAGAGAGACTACAATATACAATATATTATATTATATATATATAATATATATAATATTATATTATATATATATATATATATATATATATATATATATATATATATATATATATATATATGTCGTACCTAATAGCCAGAACGCACTTCTCAGCCTAGTATGCAAGGCCCGATTTGCCTAATAAGCCAAGTTTTCATGAATTAATTGTTTTTCGTCTACCTAACCTACCTAACCTAACCTAACTTTTTCGGCTACCTAACCTAACCTAACCTAACCTATAAAGATAGGTTAGGTTAGGTAGGGTTGGTTAGGTTCGGTCACATATCTACGTTAATTTTAACTCCAATAAAAAAAATTGACCTCATACATAATGAAATTGGTAGCTTTATCATTTCATAAGAAAAAATTAGAGAAAATATATTAATTCAAGAAAACTTGGCTTTTTAGGCAAATCGGGCCTTGCATAGTAGGCCGAGAAGTGCGTTCTGGCTACTAGGTACGACATTATATATATATATATATATATATATATATATATATATATATATATATATATATATATATATATATATATATATATATATATATATATATATATATATATATATATATATATATATATATATATATATATATATATATATATATATATATATATATATATATATATGTAATATATATATATATAGGGGGGTACCACCTCTGGTGCAATTATAGGGACCCACAGCCTCAGAGAAGAGAACACAGAGCATTCTGGGAAAAACTTGCCATTTAACTCTGAATACGTAAGAGTGTTCGCTTGTCCTACCACCCCCCTTTTTTATGGTGTACACTTTATTATGCAAGGTTATACAATTACATATCTGATTTTATTCAAAAAATTAACATTAAGAGGACAAAAAAAAAGTTCGCTTCCTAGAGGCTGTAGATTTCCTCGAACTCCTCCGACGCCGGGCAGGAACCGAGGATGCAGCGAGCATTCCCCCCTCTGGATCGCGACACTGAGGCGCTGAAAGAGAAAACTTGCTGCTCTAGGGTCTCTTGTGGTGTCAATGAGCTTGGAACCAAGATCCTTAAGAAACCTTCTTGCACTCTCTCCCCATGGGCCTAGGGTCTCAGACCCTATTGGAACAAAGTTGTACTGATGATCTAATTGCCTGTACTTGGCTGAATTGTCTCTTTCTCTGCGTGTCGCCGCGGCTCCTGCTGTGCCGGCAGAGAGGTTGATGTATGTGGTTGTCAGGGTGGATACACAAGTATAGTCCCATGCCAACTGTCTGCCACCATTCCACGGTCGCAGTGTGATTCCGTCTGGTCGGCCGACAAAGCTAACAGAGTCATGGTTCAGTAGGTTGCGGGGCTCTCTCTCCGCTGGACACTGAGCAGAGGCAAGGCTTCTTTTAATGATGTCAGTGACTTCGTCATGTCTAGTGTGCCAACCACCAGATTTTCCACAGTGCAGGCCATGCAATCCATATTCGTCAGCATCTGCCTCGCCGCAAATACACCTGTGAACAGTGTGGATAGGGGCAGCAAGGCGGAGAGCGACTGCAATACGGAACTCCTGCGGATCAAGACGTGTGCCTGTCGCAGACATAGGGACTGCTAAAAGGAAGTCCCCTGCATGGGGAGCCTGCACAGCTGTGAGGCGTGCACGATCACTGGGGGTTGATGCTGCCTCCAGCAAACCTGTGGATGCTTTGTCTACAATGGGGCTGTCCCAACTGGATTGTTTCTTGGCTTTCGGCATGGCTGGTCTGAGTGCTGGGTCTGTCATGGCACCCCATTTCGTGTCGCATTCCATGTAGAGGGGGTCCTGTATCCCCGCTACATCACTCAGGGTGTCAGGTAGAATTTCCTTAACCAGGTCATCTGATGCTGAGGAGGAAGACAGGAAGGCTGGGACAGCAATATATATATATATATATATATATATATATATATATATATATATATATATATATATATATATATATATATATATATATTATTAAATATGACCGAAAAAGTAAGATTAATAATTCTAACACGAATTTTCTCAATCTTTCGTACATTACGCTTCACTGTTGGAGGTAAATCAAAAATCAATTCTCCAAAATTCATTTTTATTTCTAGTCTGACGCGACACGGGAGCGTTTCGTAAAACTTATTACATTTTCAAAGACTTTAGTTCACAAATACACAACTGAATATAACTTACGTATCTCCGATTTTATATCTACATTTGAGTGAGGTGGAAGGGGTGATGTGGCATTAACACAAGACAGAACAAAATGTGGTATTAATAGGGTATTAATTTCATCAACACAAGACAGAACAAGAGTATTAATAGGGTATTAATTTCATCAACACAAGACAGAACACGAAACAATGGATATTGAATAGAAGTGTTTGTAGAAAGCCTATTGGTCCATATTTCTTGATGCTTCTATATTGGAGCGGAGTCTTGAGGTGGGTAGAATATAGTTGTGCAATAATTGGCTGTTGATTGCTGGTGTTGACTTCTTGATGTGTAGTGCCTCGCAAACGTCAAGCCGCCTGCTATCGCTGTATCTATCGATGATTTCTGTGTTGTTTACTAGGATTTCTCTGGCGATGGTTTGGTTGTGGGAAGAGATTATATGTTCCTTAATGGAGCCCTGTTGCTTATGCATCGTTAAACGCCTAGAAAGAGATGTTGTTGTCTTGCCTATATACTGGGTTTTTTGGAGCTTACAGTCCCCAAGAGGGCATTTGAAGGCATAGACGACGTTAGTCTCTTTTAAAGCGTTCTGTTTTGTGTCGGGAGAGTTTCTCATGAGTAGGCTGGCCGTTTTTCTGGTTTTATAGTAAATCGTCAGTTGTATCCTCTGATTTTTGTCTGTAGGGATAACGTTTCTATTAACAATATCTTTCAGGACCCTTTCCTCCGTTTTATGAGCTGTGGAAAAGAAGTTCCTGTAAAATAGTCTAATAGGGGGTATAGGTGTTGTGTTAGTTGTCTCTTCAGAGGTTGCATGGCTTTTCACTTTCCTTCTTATGACATCATAAGGCGATGAGTCACAATAACGTGGCTGAAGTATGTTGACCAGACCACACACTAGAAATTGAAGGGACGACGACGTTTCGGTCCGTCCTGGACCATTCTCAAGTCGATTCAATTTCTAGTG